TTTTGTCATTTTCATTTCGCTCGCAAGAATTTTCTGCTAATTCTCGCGACATTAAACAACGGTCGGGAGGAAGGAAATATTGCTCTGTATTTTTTCGGCAGTTTCGCGCACGGCAGCTCGTAGTTTCCAGAGTCTAATTCGCGCTATCAGCGACGCAGCGTAACGGGGCAAATGTTCGCTGGTAACTCCGGTGATCTGGGTGTACATCGCGATGAGTATAAATTGCGTTCGGACCGCAGTTAACCCGGATACCCGGCGTAGCTGGCTATGGATCCGCTCGTAAAACCATTCTGGCTCGCGCATTCGCGTTCTCGCGTGTCGCGCGTCGCACCGCCCGTGTGTTGTCCGGTGCGAATAAATGCGCCGAGCGTGCACGCGAGCAATACGCATTCCACGCACGAAAGCGGTTGCCTTGTACAGGGAAATAACGAAAAATTCTGCTCGCTGCCGCGGCCTCTTTTGTACAAACTTATGCGCAACGACTCGGCGAAAATAACTTTTCCATATTTCATGAGTCGCGGGAAAGGAGACGCGTAACGCCGCGAAGCTATGCATTAAATTTCGCCTGCGTACATCGGTGTTTCGCTAACTGGCAGACGGCGATACGTTTTCCTTACGTCGAAATATCCTCGGCGTATGCGGTCTATGTATAAAATTTACTCGCGCCACGAATATTACTCTCGCTCGCTATTTTAACTCGTACCGTTCGATTTTGTACGCCGCGAAAATTTTATTAAAACCTCCTCTTTGTCGAAGCGACAACGCTTTATATTGTTCGGCGATGTTGTTATTTTATCGATTACGCATCGATAACGGTGCATCGCGTTTATCTGATTAGTCCAAAACGAGTCGTTAACACGGGCGGGTCGAGGAATCCGGTCTAAAGCACGGATACGTATTTTTCATCGAAAGTAGATTAATTACAACGATTCGCGAACGTAAAACGAACAATCGTATCTTCTTACGGAAGGAGATTGGCTCGGAATAAGAGGCGTAATGGTAGCTCGATGCGGTACTCGAGAACAGACATACGACCACGAAAGGTTAATGCGTCGACTACTACAGTAGAAATAGCCGTGACTAGTACGGCGCATGGTAATATCTATCATTAAGAACCAACGTAGAATTTTTTACGACTGTTGTAAACGAGTATAATCGTGCACTTTCTTATTCCGCGATAAGCGATTTAATCGAGTCAATTTGCGAAGAAAAACGAACTCGCTCGAGCGTTATTATGATAGTTTTAACCGGAATAAGAAAGGCATCGATACAGTTACGTGATAAATTACGGTGTCATTTATCAAACTAGCAATATCGTTTAATATCGCATATTCCGCGCAGAAACAACGCCATTAACGAAAATACCTAGAAGTCTCCGATACGCGAAAGCTCGAAGAGAAATAAATCGTAGCTCGCTCGCGACGCGACCACTAATATTTCAATCTTTCTTTTTTTTTTCTTTTGTTAAACGAGAAACGATGGGGTGTACCTCAATCGGAACAAGCCGCGGTTTCGTATCTGTACAATTCCGTTCGTGCGCGATTCAACTACCGGAATCCTCTTACCGCTGTCAGCCATTGTCCGATGCGAAACTCGGCTTCGATCGTTTCCGGTCCCGGTCGTCGAAACGCCAGGAATTCCTGGAATTCCTGCATCGACTTAATAATGTCACAGTGCGTCGATCTGTATTCAAATTGACCGGAGGAAGCGGATGTCGTGTTCGTTCGATGCCAACGATCGAGAGGTGTCGAGATCGTCCGGTTAACGGTGATCATTGATGATGTCCGAAGTCCCATTAGAACGCGATTTAAATAATCGAAATATTTCGACATCGATATTTGACGAAATAAAATATGAAAGTCTCGGAACTTTCAAAAGAAATTAGACTGGCTACTCGGGGCGTATACTTATCCGTAATCTTTAGAAATCCGTGTTTTCGTCGTCCGATGGAAACTCGCAGCCACGCACGGTCAGCCTGTAATTACCAATGCGGCAATTAACGTTTCTCGATTTCCTCGGAAGAAAATTGAACGAGCAATTACGGGAACCGGCTACCGGTAGCCGTTTATCGGATTATCAGAGGACGGTTGGAGAGGTCGACGATCCAGACTTACGAAAATAATCGAAACAGAGAGAAGGAAAGAGAGAGGCGAGAGAAACGGGAAATCGCATCGATCGCGACACGATTGAATAACCTGCATTTTGCCAAGCCGATCTGCCAACCTTAGCGTAAAACGACCGCTCGACCGTATAAGCTGGCATTGGAATCATGCTCTTGTCCGTTCGCCTGGAGCCTGGATGATGATCGATTAATAGCTTCCAACGTCGTATCGCTGTCGTTTCCACGATAAAGCGTACGCTCCTGTTATAACGATTATAGCAGAGAAAGTTCAATCGGAATACTTTGCGGAGAGCGTTCGAGATTAAACGATCATGATTGCGAGCCAATCGAAAGAACGCCAGATACTAACAGCTTGACTAAGTAGAACGTTCAACAATTTTTCAATAAATGTTTTATCAATCGGTCCGGTATCGAAATAGCCACTTCAGGGTAACGTTATCGGTCGTATAACTCGAAGAGCCTCTACTAAATGGAAACTTGTTGTTATCGATCGCTACGCTTAGCGCTTTTACGAGGCGCAATCTATTGTATATGAATCTAAGGATATTAAAACTGATTCTGTAGACTCGACGGTATATCAAATACCGTTTCATTATTTGTTAATTACCCGGTCGAATGAAATTTGTGACTCCATTGTTCGTGTCAAACTATTCCTTTCCGGTATAAGTATTCCAATCAATAAGTTAGCTGGGGTACAGCATTCCTATCGCTACGATCGTTCCAATCTAAACGTATATTCGAAAGCATATCCAGTTTATCAATCGTTTCTACACGGCGAGGTGCCTCTGCTTTTCGATCCGTTTAAACGTTTTAAAGTTCGTCGCTTTCCTAACTCTCTTTTTCTCTGTCCTTCTCTCTCGTTGTTATCATTCCAGGCTTTATTGGCTCTTGAAATTAAACTTCGGAATTGCGACTGTTCAGCCGCCGCTGAGTTATTATCTCTGTCCCAACTGTTCGCGTTGAGCGTTCGCTTTGGTGCATCCGTTTGTGCATCATCTATACGTATTATGGACTCCATAAGCTTTCGCGCATCGTGTGCAGGGTTGATCGATGACGTGTCCTCCTGTACGCTGTTCATCATTATCCCTCATGGTGATGCGCGCTCAACTTTCCGGAAACACGAAGCGTGTCTCGTAATGTAGGAAGATGACGAAGCACGAGAGGAAATAGGTTAGAGCAATACAGAAATCGTTCCTTTTCGACCGCGTCGTAGTCCTATCGTAAATTTGCTTTTTCGGGGTCCCCCCTAGCGCTGTGATGTCACGGCCCCAGGCAATCCACGGTTTCCGTTCACACGACAGCCAACGTTTCAGCGAAAGATCCAAAAGCGTTACGAAAGCGATAACGTCGAAAGAATGGAAAAAGCAAGGAAAGGTTGCTCTGTTCTTGTCTCGAAACGTCCTACTTGCGAGACGGGTACTTTCTGACCCAGTAATAAACAGAATCGTGAAAATAAGCACGTAGGCGGGTAGCGTATGAAAGACCTGGGCTCGGTTCCCAGTGCCACGGTTCTAATTTTTCACCAATTTCTACGTAATGCTCGCGGGCGTAATATGTTCCCATTATCCGAAAAATGCCAGGCGAGTCATTTTGTCCCACAGTTTTGCCAAGGTCCGTTTTCTGTGTCAACTGTCTAGTCTCGATGGCAAGCGTCCCGAACAAAGGGCGACATCGGAACGAAGGAACTGCACCGACCCTTCGAATGGACGATCAAAATTTGCCCTTCGCCCCTGATCTCCGATCGATCGAGAGCCAGATTGGATAGGGAAACGCGATTTGGCACGGGTAGAAACGCACGAGGCGAGGGTCCGCTGGAAACCGGTCACGGGAGCATTCGTTACGGTTTTATTTGTTTCGGCCGGGGCAGAGGCGACGATCGATCCTCGGCGGCGTCGCAGCCGCC